GCTGCAGCAGCAGCAACCGCCGCAGCAGCGCTGCACTTGTGCTGCTGCCAGCTCAGCAGCAGCAGCAGCAACAGCAACAGCAGCAACAGCAGCAACAGCAGCAGGAGGACCTGCAACAGCGCATTCAGCAGCAGCAGCTACTGCTGCTACAGAACCTACAACCGCGGGTGCAGCAGCAGCAACAGCAACTGCAACAGCAGCAGCAGCAGCAGCAGCAGCAGCAGCAGCAGCAGCAGATGAAATATGCGGCAATCGCTACAGCAACGACGAGCTGCTGCCGCCTGCAAGCTTGTGTACACCGCCGCGGTGTACATACACCTCATTCCCTCCTCCTGCTGCAGCAGCAGTGCCGCCGCTGCTGCTGCTGCGGCCCCCTGCTGCTCACCAATCGCTTACTGGGTTTTCTTCTTACTGTGACGTTTCCTTTGCTGCTCCCTTGTATTTCCGCAGCAGCAGCAGCAGCAGCAGCAGCAGCGGCGGCAGCTGCAGCTCCTGCTGCAGCAGCAGCAGCAGCAGAAACCCTAAACCCCCGCTGCTGCCGATCCCTGCTGTTGCTACTGCTGCACCGCCACCACTAAACCACCTAAAGATGCCTCAGCTGCAGCCCTGGATGCAGCAGCTAAAACAATACCTTGCTGCTGCTGCTGCTGCTGCTCCTGCTGCTGCTGCTGCTGCTGCTGCTGATGCTGCTGGTGCTCCTGCTGCTGCTGCAACATCAGCAGCAGCAGCAGGAGCAGCAGCAGCAGCAGCAGAAGAGGATCCGGTTGCTTACCACGTGGTGGTTGTTGGGGGTGGGGTTGCTGGGTTAGCTGCTGCTGCTGTGCTGCGGCTGTTTGGGGTGTCTGTGCTGCTGGTGGAGGCGGGAGAGCAGCTGGGGGGCCGCGTGAGAACTGCTGCAATGTATCCAGCAGCAGCAGCAGCAGCAGCAGCAGAGCAACAGCAGCAACAGCAGCAGCAGCAGCAGCAGCAGCAGCAGCAAGACCATGATCTGCCGCAGCAGCTGAGAAATTCTCCTGCTGCTGCTGCTGCTGCTGCTGCTGCTGCTGCAGCAAAGACAAAGACAAAAAAGCAAATATCCCGCTTCTGGGAATATGTAGACACAGAGGATGAGGCTGAGCAGCAGCAAGCTGCAGCAGCAGAAGCAGCAGCAGAAGCAGCAGCAGCAGCAGCAGCAGCAGCAGACGGTTGCCGCACACGCGGAGACCTGAGACGCTCCTCCACGCGAGCAGCAGCAGCAGCAGCAGCA